ATGTGGACTTCTCCTCAGATGGCCTGGGCCCCAGCAACTCTATCATATCAGCTTTGTCTAGAACTTCTTTTTCCAGCAAGCGCTTGCCAACCTATTCACAAAAAACAAATGCATATTTGCATCAACTAGGCTACCTGACAGAGATGGTCACTTTGCAGTTCTTCATGCTTTAAATATTTAACACTGGGTCATTCTAAATCCCGGAAAAACAAAATCCTGGGTTATTTTGCTTCATGTTTTACACCGCTCATAATTTCCCCAGGGTTTACAATTCATCCTATGTATTGATAAGCTGACGTTTCACACTGTACATTCAAGTTTTTTTCCCTGAATGGACTTACAAAGCATAAGAATTAAACTCTCTAATGAAACTGATGCGTTTTCCATTACCATTTGACAATTTTCCCCTTAAGCCCCGGAATAGACTGTTTACATGCTGTGTTCCTGTCACACAACTGGATGTCTGTTGCTAAGCATCTAGTTTCACACAGTACAATTTTGCCACTGCAATGCAGGGTTAACACCGCAAAAGCATTGTCAGCCCTAACCCCGGGTAAAAAGCGGTGCCACTTCTAAATTACAAGCATGAAATGTTCCTTTATCCAGGGTTTAGAATGACGATAACCCAGGGTTAAATGCAGTGTGAAAAGCCCCTTTGAAAAATCAGAGATATAAATCTCAAAGTATGAACTTAAAACTTTGATTTGAGGTAAAGCTGAGTGACCTCAACAAAACTGTTGAAGTTTATACAACTACTTTGCCTTATTTAAAGAAAAATGTGACTAAGGACTGAACCCTGAGGCACTCCGCAGGTTACTAGTTCTGGCATCTCTGGCATGACTTTGAGGGCTGTTGTAATGGCAGCTAGATTCCACTCTATTTAAAGCTATAAATCCAAGCAAAGCATGAGGCACAACTGTATTCCAGGATAAAGTAATATCAAGCTGTTGGTTGTTCTCACCATTTCCACCTGCTCGTGTTTCTCAGTGATGAGTTTCAGTGTTCTCTTGAAGGCCCGGTCGACCAGATCTCTGACCTCTGCATCAATGAGTTCTGCCATAGCCTCGCTGTAGGGCTTCTCCAGAACCATCTCACCCTGCCGGGGCAGGTCAAATGACACCTGCCCCACTTTCTCACTCATACCAAACTGAACAATCTACAACAGAAAAGTAGGGGAAGAAAACGGTCAAATAATGTTAATATACGCAAAAGATCTCGCTTGTAATCTTAAAGTTATAGGTTGAAAGCCTCAAGAAGCAATCAATGGGCTATCACCACTGCATTAACTGCCAGAACAGTCGAAGAATCCCTTTAACAGATTGTTAGCAGATTAACAAAATAATTATTAGTTTCAGCTCTACTCCAAAATGGATTGTTCCTGTAAGTATTGTACATTTGGATAAAAGTTTCTTCTAAATGAAAAAAAATGTATAATGTTGTTATGTCTTTATAGCAAATGCTGTAGCACACTGAACCACTGAATGTATGATACAAAGCAAGCACCATCTCTCTACCTGAGCATATGCTGACTGTGTGACCTTCTTAAGGTCGTCATGAGCCCCAGTCGTGATCCAGCCAAAAAACACCTGCTCTGCCACGTGCCCACCAAGCATCATGCACATCCTGTCGAATAGCTGCTCCCGTGTATATAAATACTGCTCTTTTGGAAGATACTGGGCATAGCCCAAGCCTTTCCCTCTTGGAATTATGGAAACCTGGAACATAAAATTAGGGAATGAGTGAATGAATCCAATAAATTTCAACAAAACAATTCACAGATGAATGACTCGATTTAAACTGAACTATAAAAGCTACAATGCAAATCCTGGTGGTGTAACATGATGCTCATAGTTTATACATAGTCAGTTTTGCCCCTTGTTCATTGTAAAAAATTTTTTTTTAAATCAAAGACAATGACAAATAAATTTTTCCTCATTTGAAACTAAAATATGTGTTATTTATTTAATTTGGTTACTTAAGTTACGTAAAATGGATTTAAAATATCTTTTGCAAAATAATTTCACCTTGAGCAATGGGTCAGCATGTTGGAGAAACCAGCCCACTACAGCATGCCCTGCTTCATGATAGGCTACAGTCTTTTTCTCAGTGGGTTGTAAAACCTGAGTCTTCTTCTCCAGACCTGTAACATGAGAGCACAAAATATGGAATGACTTAGAAATGTATTTTATTTTAAATTTAGGATAGTTAAAGCTGCATAAGCCAACTCAAGCAATCATACACGGAAAGCTTCAGCACCACTAAAAAGGAATGAATTAAGATAGTCTTTATTCCTAATTTGTGTTATCTAATGGAAGGAAGCATGTAGATAAGAAAAGGAATGGGACCCAGGACTGAACCCTGAGGTACACCATAGGTCACTGCTGACGTCACTAACAAGACTTACAGATTTGAACATGTACATCATTGTTAGTAGGATGTTTGTAGGATATGCTGCAATTCCAAGCTCTTCCGTTTACCTCCGATGACTCTGTCGATGGCCTGCTCAAAGTGCTTAACATTGATGAATTCATTCAGATGTCTAGCAGCAATGAGAGCTGCTTCATTACAGACATTTGCAATATCAGCACCTGGAGGAGAGAAAAAATAGGGTCTTTATATAGCAATAACACAGCAATATTATGGCTGCGCTTATGATTACTTAATAATCATATCAGCTACATCAGCCTACGCTCACACATGAATTTCAAATATATAATTATCATACAACGTATAATTTTTCTGCTATGGCTTGCACATTTATTCTGTTCAAAAGGAAAAGGAGTGTCTAACTAAATCAATGCTCACTCACCAGTGAACCCAGGTGTAGCAGCTGCCATCCTCCTTGCAATGGCATCACGGTCCAGATTTGGTTCCAGTTTGAGTGGCCGGAGATGCACTTTGAATATGGATGCTCGACCCTTAATATCAGGAGGTCCTGAAGGATTGACAGAGTACAAACCTTAGATAGTAGAAAATATTTATCCTAAGCCCACTACACATTAATATTATTGGTGGTCAACTCAGTTTGAAAGACAAATAACACTTGCTGCAATTAATTTTCATAATATATTTATCAAATAAGAAATAAAAATAATTCAAATTAAATATAACTTAAGAAATAAACAGACTTATCCTTTATATAGCAACATCTTGATTCTAATACAGTATTTTGTTTTTTAACAAATAAAGAAATAGTTAAATATTGAAATTAATAATAATTAAAAAAAAACAGTAACCAACAGTGCACTCTGGAATGTAATCTCTTTATAAAGATCAGGTGAAATTAAATATTTATTAGATATTCAAAGACCTGTTTTCATGATATAAATGTGAATTTGCTGAAAACTGACAGTATATGATAAAGTATTATTATGTTTACCTTATTAGTACTAATAATAATAGAAATTCAATGACTATAATACTATTTCTTATACGTCTAAGTTTGACAATTTATTAGACAGAACTGTTAAAGACAGTAAACTATTAAAGACTGAGAATGGGAGCTCCTGTTTGTCTGCATTCAGGTGCTGATAGTCTCAGTGCATGTCAAAATAAAGGTCCTAGTGCTGTCAAAATAAAAGACACACTTCTGATACTTACTGGCTAAACAGAAAAATTTACCAAGGATCGAATGATGTAATACTGGGGTCGCCAACTGGTGGACTCCGGTCCAAATCCGGACCGTGAAGGCTTTTGACAATGAAATAAATAAATGCCAAAACCAAATAAAATCAAATTGATAACAAGCACATCAAGGTCAGCTCAGAAGATGTTTGGGTGCAATTGTGTGTGCAGTGAAGAGAGCAGAGAGCAGCGCACAGACAAATGAAACTTAGTGAGTGAAAAAAAAAATGTCATTCTTAAAAATTAGGAAAGTTGACGGGTCCTTAAAAAGTCTTAAATGGTACAAGAAAGTCTTAATTATGATTTCAGGATGTCTTACATTTGGGGACGGAAAGACAGGAATTGTGACTGAACTTCAAAAGGCTATGATTTCATAGAATAAATATGCTGCGCTGCTTTGTGTACTGCCGTTATCGGGGAAATGCTATATTTCTGCCGTTCCGAAAGTGCCACCTGCTGGAAGAGAATGAATTTGCATTTTCAATCAGCCTGTCTGCTGTTCTCGTAAAAGACCAATGTGAAAATCAACCCATGCTTTTAAGCAGCAAACACGCAGAGTTGTAAATGTGAACTGGTGGATTGACAAGAAGATAATGTATTATATAAAATTTATAGAATGGCAAAGAGGAATTATTCTGAAAAAATAAGGACTCAGTTCACTTCCAGCGACTCGGCATCAGTGTGGAAAAGTCTAAAAGAAATCACCAACTACAAGACACCATCCCCCAGCACTGTCGAGAATCAACACCTGGCAGACGATCTGAACGAGTTCTACTGCAGGTTTGAAAAAACACCCCACACCCGCCCTGAACACCTCTCCACACAACCATTCACACCTCCAGCAACCCCCCTCTCCCCCACACCTGCAATTCAGATCAGCGAAGATGAGGTGCGCCAGGTCTTCCGGAAGCAGAAAAGGAGAAAAGCACCAGGCCCAGACTGTGTTACACCAGTCTGTCTGAAATCCTGTGCTGACCAGCTGGCCCCCATCTTCACACAGATCTTCAACAGAGCACTGGAGCTGTGCGAAGTACCTTCATCCTTCAAATGCTCCCCCATCATCCCCATCCCAAAGACACCCAAAATTACGGGACTTAATTACTACAGACCTGTGGCTTTAACGTCTGTGGTCATGAAGTATTTTGAAAAACTGGTGCTGGCCCACCTGAAGGACAGCACTGGACCCTTGCTGGATCCTCTTCAGTATGCCTACAGAGCAAACAGGTCTGTGGACGATGCAGTAAACATGGGACTGCATTATGTTCTGCAACATCTAGACAGACCAGGGACTTACAGTGGGGGAAAAAAGTATTTAGTCAGCCACCAATTGTGCAAGTTCTCCCACTTAAAAAGATGAGAGAGGCCTGTAATTTTCATCATAGGTATACCTCAACTATGAGAGACAAAATGAGAAAAAAAAATCCAGAAAATCACATTGTAGGATTTTTTAAGAATTTATGTGCAAATTATGGTGGAAAATAAGTATTTGGTCAATAACAAAATTTCATCTCAATACTTTGTTATATACCCCGTTATCTATGAATTCCTCACCGTTTAATGAAGAAACACAAGTCTCATCAATGAAGTCAAATTCATAGCTGACAAATGGACTCTGTGGAGAAACAGAAATAACCAGAGAATGTTTTAAAAAATCATTTATTATAAATCAGATTACACGTCGTTCAAAAGTTTGGGATCGGTAAGATTTCTTTTTTTTTAAATTAAGTCTCTTATGCTCATCAAGGCTGTATTTATTTGATCAAAATAGAAAAAAAAAAACATAATATTGTGAAATATTATTGCAATTTCTAATATTGTTTTCCTGTATTAATATACTTTAAGTTTAGTACCGTCCAATGATTAATCGCATCCAAAATAAGTTTTTGTTTACGTGTGTGTACGGTGTATATTTATTATGTATATATAAATACACACACACACACATAGATGTATATATTTAAGAAAAATGTCATGTTTATATATCTATGTGTGTGTGTGTGTGTGTGTGTATTTATATACACATAATAAATATACACAGTACACACACATATTATGTAAACAAAAACTTTATTTTGGATGCGATTAAGCGTTTGACAGCACTATTTAAGATATTATTTATTTCTGTGACACAGCGCTGAATTTTCGGTGTCGAAACTTTATTCATTTAACATCCTCGCTGAATAAAAATAGAAAGCAGAACATTTTCTAACCCCAAACTTATGAATAGTAGTGTATATTGGAACACAATTTCTATTTTGAAGAAACGCTGTTCTTTGTAACTTTTTATTCATGAAAGAATCCTGAAAAAAGTATCACAGGTCCCAAAAAAATATTAAGCATCACAACTGTTTCCAACACGGTTTATAAATCAGCATATTAGAATGATTTCTGAAGGATGTGACACTGAAGACTGGAGTAATGATGCTGAAAATACAGCTTTGCACCACAGGAATAAATTCTATTTTAAAGTATATTAAAATAGAAAACTGTTACTTTAAATTGCAATAATATTTCACAAAAGAAAAAAATGTTCCTGTGTATTTTTGATCAAATAGATACTGCCTAGATAAAACTTTATACTGATCCCAAACTTTTGAACGACATAATACAGCACAATTAATGCATTCAAAACGTTCTCGGCGTTAATGAAATGTCTCATTTTATTAAGATATAGATGGTGCCTTGTGTTTGAGGAGTGTTCTCCAGTCCCGCTTTTCCTTTTTCTTCAGCTTCATCACCGGCTCATTGCATCTCATTTCCCATGAGCACTGCTCCGCGGTGATGGCACCGGACAGCTCCAGCTTTGCATAGTAATGCCGGTCATTCACGTACCCACTGAGATTCAAATACATGAAAAATTGCCATAAAACATACATGTAAGACTCCATACATCAATGCATATGTTGTTTGCTGTCCTGTCATATTAAAGGGGTCATATGATGAGATTTCAATTGTTCCTTTCTCTTTGGAGTGTTACAAGCTCTTGGTGCATAAAGAAGATCTGTAAAGTTGCAAAGACTAAAGTCTCAAACCAAAAGATATATTCTTTATAAAAGTTAAGAGTCAGCCACACCTACCTAAAACGGCTCGTTCTAACACGCCCCCACATATCTACGTCACTATGTGGAAATATTAGCATAATGCGCCCAAATGTGCACGCAAAGAAAGAAGGCGTGGTTTCAGGAACAGCAGTAGTGTTGATGCAGCATGTCAGGGAGATGCTGTGTGTTTCAGTGTGAAAGCAAAAGCACTTTATTTGGCCTTCCGAAAGTAGATGCATTTAGGAATCATTGGTTAAGATTTATTTACAACAGAACCGCACAACCCAGATGTTCGAATTTGTGCAACGCATTTTATGGATGACAGTTTTTTTAACCTAGAAGAGTACAAGGCTGACTGTGCACAAAGGCTATTTCTAAAAATAAAAAAAGGGTCAATTCCGACTTTGCTATGACAATCTGGCGCTTCTGAATCAGCGACTGTAAGTATGTTTTGTTATTAGTTTAAGTATTTGTTACTGACTGTTCAAATGCGGAGTTTTGCGCAGCGCAGAGTAACGCGTCGTGTGTGTGTGTGTGAGAGGGGAACAGGGTCACATCACAGGAGAGTGAACTGTCTGTCAGAAATCATAGCACGTCAGCTGTCTTAACCGCGGCTTGTGTACTGCATCATCACTGTGTCTGTCACGCGACTCTGTTGCCCTTTCGGGCTTGAACTGATGGTAAAACTAACGACATTATTAACTGTCTTGATATTTACTTTGAAAGCTGAAGCTCGAGATTATGGTAAGGGGTGTTACATTTCCACAGCGCTGAATTTTCGGTGTCGAAACTTTATTCATTTAACATCCTCGCTGAATAAAAATAGAAAGCAGAACATTTTCTAACCCCAAACTTATGAATAGTAGTGTATATTGGAACACAATTTCTATTTTGAAGAAACGCTGTTCTTTGTAACTTTTTATTCATGAAAGAATCCTGAAAAAAGTATCACAGGTCCCAAAAAAATATTAAGCATCACAACTGTTTCCAACACGGTTTATAAATCAGCATATTAGAATGATTTCTGAAGGATGTGACACTGAAGACTGGAGTAATGATGCTGAAAATACAGCTTTGCACCACAGGAATAAATTCTATTTTAAAGTATATTAAAATAGAAAACTGTTACTTTAAATTGCAATAATATTTCACAAAAGAAAAAAATGTTCCTGTGTATTTTTGATCAAATAGATACTGCCTAGATAAAACTTTATACTGATCCCAAACTTTTGAACGACATAATACAGCACAATTAATGCATTCAAAACGTTCTCGGCGTTAATGAAATCTCATTTTATTAAGATATAGATGGTGCCTTGTGTTTGAGGAGTGTTCTCCAGTCCCGCTTTTCCTTTTTCTTCAGCTTCATCACCGGCTCATTGCATCTCATTTCCCATGAGCACTGCTCCGCGGTGATGGCACCGGACAGCTCCAGCTTTGCATAGTAATGCCGGTCATTCACGTACCCACTGAGATTCAAATACATGAAAAATTGCCATAAAACATACATGTAAGACTCCATACATCAATGCATATGTTGTTTGCTGTCCTGTCATATTAAAGGGGTCATATGATGAGATTTCAATTGTTCCTTTCTCTTTGGAGTGTTACAAGCTCTTGGTGCATAAAGAAGATCTGTAAAGTTGCAAAGACTAAAGTCTCAAACCCAAAGAGATATTCTTTATCAAAGTTAAGACTCTGCCACGCCCCCCTAAAACGGCTCGTTCTAACACGCCCCCACATATCTACATCACTATGTGGAAATATTAGCATAATGCACCCAAATGTTCACGCAAAGAAAGAAGGCGTGGTTTCAGTAACCGCAGTTAAGTGTTGAAGCAGCATGTCAGAGAGACGCTGTGTGTTTCTAGACGAAAGCAAAAGCACTTTATTTGGCCAGAGTTTTCCGCAGCGCAGAGTAACGCGTTGTGTGTGTGTGTGTGTGAGGGGAA